AGATGAACTTGTTGGAACAAAATTAAGAACTATTTCTCAAACATCAGGGGCACTGAAAAATATGAAATTCTAATAGCAAAATGGAAGAGGAAAGACCATAAAAGTTAAAAGAATAAAGAAAAGCATTACTACATCCAGAATTCAGTTTCACAAAAGGGATTTCATATTATTCTCTAAATTTGTAGCATCACCATCTTAGGCTAATTGACTTGGGGTATGTTAATGCCCTCCAATGCAGAAGTTTTAAGTACAGAATCTTCTAAAAATGCATTTAATCATTTCAGTAAAATAAGCATCAAAAGTACAACTCACCTCCCCCTACCCCCACGTGGATATCTATTCTAAAAACTGCCTTCAGATTTAAAAAATTTGTCCATATACAATGCTGCAACGTCAATGTGCTCAAAAATGTGTCCAAGTATAGTTCTGTTACTCAATACCATTGAAGTTAAGAGATTTCCCGTAACATGGTACAAAGAGAGCGTAACGCCAAGGTTCCTAGGTTCTTCCTTCCAACTACAGGTGGACATTCAAGAAACATGACTACAACACTGGAAGGGAGGGAGTGTCCTGATGTCCCTGGACCTCACCCGTGCTCTCAAGGTCAGCTGGATCCGCCTCTGCACATACAAATACTACAAATGGGTGCACTTCTCCACACAGTCCCTTTCAAACCACCCTTGACTTTTCTCCTAGTGGGTATTCATCTTAATTGGAAAAATACTCATTTCACTTATATAATCACCATGGATGTTTCTGCCAAAGATTTTTTTTCTTAAGTAAATCATGTAAGAGTCTCCACTTTTTGGACTGAAAGTGAGACTCAGATACCTCCAAAAGCATCCTCCAAGGGCTGTGTGTTCATTTTATCTCCCTTTGACTTCAAAACCAGCCTATCAATGTTAAATACGTGTTTTTAATTGAAGCATAGTTGATTTACAATGTGTTAGTTGCTAGTATACAGCATAGGGATTTGGTTATACATATATATTCTTTTTCATATTCTTTTGCATTATAGGCTATTACAAGGTATTGAATATAGTTCCCTGTGCTGTACAGTAGGCCCTTGTTGTTCATCTGTTTTATGTATAGTAGTGTGTATCTGCAAACCTCAAACTCCTAATTTACCCCTCCCCTTCCTTTAAAATGAAATTCCCAATAACACATTTTTTTTCTCCTTGGTCTGGCTGAGAAGATCAATCGCCATTCATTTTAGTTAATAAGCTCCATAAATCTATATAAAATAGGAAACCAAGCCAATTGCAAAACATAAGGTTGAGGATTTTCTAGTGCTAACACACTAATATTTCTGGACCTATCAGTTTTTGTGGCACAGGTTCCCAGTATCTTATACAGAGAACTGGAGAATCCATACAAGCTGATACAATAGGTTAAGACATTGGTTTCCCACTGCACATTTTAAAGCACACACATCATTCTCCTTTCCTGGAAAACTTGCCTTGCCGGGGCTCTGCTGTTTAAAAAGAGACATTTCTTGAAGAAACAGGCTGAAATTCATCCATGATTCTGCAATACAGTGGCTGAGCCCAGGTCTCTCATCTGGTTTGGAATTGATAACTTCCCAGCTAAAGAGAGAAAAAGAAAAGAAAAAATTGTAACTGAACTTGGGGCGATTCACTCAACATTCTTTATTTCAGCAAATATATATATATTGAGCGCCTCCTAGTGGCCACATTCCCTGGCTCCGTGAAGCTGTGTGACTTCAGAGATGAACAAGCCAGACACCTGTCCAAGGAAGCACACACAACAAGAGAAGAGACACAGGCTAAGCACCGAGTTCCACAGTGATCTGGTCACAGCGAAGGAAAAGTCTAGGGGGAGGGCTTTGGGACATCTTCGCTGAAGATGTCACCTGTATGCTGCAATCTGGATTTGCACTATTTACCATAATGGCTTGGAAGGGTTCCAGACAGAACCTCACACAGCACATGCAAGAGGCCCCGGCGTGAGGAGGAGCTGGAGCCAGTGTGACAGCAGCAGAGCGGACCAGAGAGTAACTCCGTAAGAAGCTGGGACGGCAGGAAGGGACCTAATCATACGGGGCCTTCTGGGACTTGTAATCATTTTAAACTTAAGGATAGGGAAGCCACAGTACTTTTAAAGACACCTTGGCTTTAATCTTATCACCATCAACATCATGAACACCAACAAGGTACTTTCAGTATACAGCTGATCCCTGCAAAACACGGCAGTTAATCCACGTATAATTTATTGTCGGCCCCTCGTATCTGCGGTTCCTCTGCATCCGCAGATTTAACCAGTGACACATCCTGTAGTATTTACTGAAAAACATCCACTATATGTGGATCCATGCAGTTCAAATGCGAGTTGTTCAAGGGTCAACTCCACACTAGGGCTGGTTAACTCAACAGAAAATTGTTAACTCAACAGGATCTCACAATATCCGGCATTTTTCTAGCCTGTCTTTTCCTGATCATCATCACAGAATGTGTTGAACGTGGTGCACGTGCCAGGCGTGTGCTGTGGGTCCCGCCCTCATTTCTCCACGGGAGACTCAGTGAACTAAAAACTAGCAGCAGCCGCTCCAGGAAGAAGACGTGCAAATACTGGGCAGTTCCTAAAGTTACAATGAAGTCAAGTTCAAATTTCCCTTGCAAACCTAACACATCACCTAAACATACCAGTTCAAACAAGCTCTGTTAAGGGTCCCCAAATTCTTTCATTTCATGGATAATTTTCAGCGCCTACCACGTGGAAGGCACTGCCACAGAGCTAAGGAAATGACACTAACTAAACAAACGTGTCTAGTAGAGGACAGAGATCGTTAGTGAAGTGTCATCTGAGCTATGATTGCGAGGGCACGGGGGAGGGGATCGATCTCCTACCCAGAAATTGTGTCCATATAGATTCTGTTTCTTTTTAATAAAGTTTCAACACAAAGGTAATTTGTAAATTCAATAATTCAATTTCTAAGTGAAGTAAGCCAGAAAGTAAGCCACTGTCATTCTAAGTGAAGTAAGCCAGAAAAAGAAAAATATCATATGAGATCGCTCATATGTGGAATCTAAAAAACAAAAACAAAAACAAACAAACAAACAAAAACAAAGCGTAAATACAGGACAGAAATAGACTCATAGACAGAATACAGACTTGTGGTTGCCAGGGGGGTGGATGGTGGGAAGGGATAGACTAGGATTTCAAAACTGTAGAATAGATAAACAAGATTACACTGTATAGCACAGGGAAATATACACAAAATGTTATGATAACTCACAGAGAAAAAAATGTGACAATGAGTGTGTATATGTCCATGAATGACTGAAAAATTGTGCTGAACACTGGAATTTGACACAACATTGTAAATGATTATAAATTAATAAAAAATGTTAAAAAAATAATTCAATTTCCTTTTTAATATAAATTTGAAGTTATATTTAAGTGAGTGCAATAGCATTAAAAAAGAAAAAAAATACTTCTTGCCCTGCCTCTTTGTTCTCTCAGCCTTAGTTAGTTCTCTGCCGGAGAGTTTCTGAGCAGCCAGGTGTCCAGGCGGATGCCAGCCCACCAGGCAGGCACTGACCAAATGATTTCCTGACTGTGGTGAGAAATGAACTTTCAGGGACGTTTAGCTATAGTTTATGTATTCATTAACTCTACCCACTCTTGAATCACCGAGCAAGGCTGTTTACATCAGTGACCAAGTCTAGCCCTGGGTTTGCATATCCTACGAATGATTCCAGACCTATTAAAAGAAACAGTAAGTGTGTGGCTAGGAGGCCACTATCTGTAACACAGTCTTGCCAGTATGTCAGTTTAATGGGAAAAGATATTGTACAGGAAAGTCAAAGCCAAAATGGTTATTAAACTGTGGCTTTCTTTCTAGAACAATGTAGACTTGTTATAAATTGTCAAGGGTACACTAGGCTACTGCTCAGTGTAATGGGACCACAAAGATGACAGAAATGCAGATTTAAATTTCTGTTCTCTATGCATATTGAGTAGTAATTTAGGATTTGGTTCAACCGTTTGGCAAATATACTTCTCACAAAAATCAACAAAAACTTACAATGGAATGGAACTATTTGATTATTATTTTAATGATTCAATGGGATGAATGAACATTTTGTATTTTGACACAAATTTAAAATACTCTTTCATTAGGATAATGAACAAATCAAGTGAGTTGCCTTCAAACAATGGAAGATGGAACAGCAGTGGAAATGAAGGAACTCAGATTCCACGTCTGTACATGAGCCTCAGGATCATAATATTGAGAGGAAAGAAATCACAGAAGAACAAGACACAGAATGATTTCATTTACATAAAGCTCAAAATCACACTAACAGTTATTAAGCAAGGAAATGATAAAAAAAAACCAAAACAAGACAAACAAGATTCAGGAGAGGGGTTACCCCAGGTGGGGGGATCCAGGGAGCAAGACTGGAGATGACAAGTAGGAGCTTCTTGGGTATTTGTCACTTTCTGTTTCTTAAATTAGGTGCTGAATACACGAGACCTGACTCACCGTCCTTAAAGCTACACATATCTACACACGGATACACAGATGGTCTTTATTTAAAAACTCCTTGATACTTAAATGTATGGTCATGTTTTTTACTTAATGAATAACATTCTTACATGAGTATATTTCACTTCACATCCTATAGTCAAAATACAAATATTACTGAAGTTTTTGCTTCAGTTTATTTCTTTTGTCTTCCAGCTTTATTGCGATGTAGTTGACAAACAGCACTACGTAAGTTTAAGGTGGATGGCGTAATGATCTGACGTACACACAGCATGGACATGAGGAGCACAACAAGTCTGGTGACCATCCGTCATTTCACACAGATACAACATTAAAGAAACAGAAAAATACATATTTCTCCCTGGGATGAGCACTCTGAGGATTTACTCTCTTAACAACTTTCACATATAACATAGAGCAGCGTTCATTGTATTTATCATATTGTGCATTACGTCCCTAGCACTTGTATAGTTTATAACTAAAAGCTTATACCTTTTGACTGCCTTCATCCAATTCCCCATCCGCCACCTCTGGTAACCACAGATCTGGTCTGTTTTTCTATGAGTTTCCTGGTTTGCTTATTTGTTTGTTTTTGAAGCATAATTCACCTACAACACTATGTTAGTTCCTGGTACACAATATAGTTATTTGACATTTCCATACATTTTTAAATGATCGCCGTGATTGAGTCTAGTGTGTGATCATCCGTCACATACAAAGACATCACACAGTCACTGACTTTCCCCCCACACTGGGTAGCCAGCACCGGTGATGCTTCAGTTACTTTACTTGTGAAGCAAGGGGCTCTGTCCTTGCCCCTCTGCCCTGTGCTCCGGTGGGTGTGGGGTGGGACCTGTGCATGCTCTGGGAATGGGCAGCCAGCCCAGCTCCGGGGGGACAGCCCCTCTGCCACGCAATTTGTGCCTCAAGGCTCCGCCCTCCTCGCTTAGGACCTCAGACCAGCTGTCCCCTGTGGGGCAGCCCTGTCCCAGTGGAACCAAACCCGAATTCCTGGGGCTGGGCGGGGCTGCTCCACAGGACCCTAGGGTCATGACAATGAGGGCCAGTGGACCAACCTAATCCATAGCCAAGAAGAATAATTTCTTCTGGCTAGAGCCATGAAAAACAGTGTTTTGAATACACGGTACTTTGAATACATAGGTGCTGGGACCTTGTTCTAATCCTACCTCTGGGATTCATGTCTCAGAAGTGACACCACATTTGTAAACATATTTTACTACTCAAGTAAGTGAATGTCCTAAAATTAGAAAAGAGCCTAGTCTAATACTAAATTACTTAAAATTACCTAAATTATGCTATAGAGACAATGTTATAGCAAAGTGCTTAATACATATTACAGCGAAGTAACTAAACTTTCTGTTTTATATTTACGGATCTTACCCATCTTCATGGTGGATTTCAAGTGGACATAAAGACACTTCGGTATCCATCCATCACCTTATTCATGGATTCAATAAAAAGTTACCAAGTTCCCTTCATGTCTTACATTATACTTGGTGTGCTATATTGTCATTTTAAACCAACAAAAACTGAATACCCGCAGCACTGTTCTCTGTGTCTATAGACGCCACTTGTTAGTGGGAAGAGGGAACGTAGGAATATTCACCCTGTGGATGTCTTCCATAGCCATAAGACACTCCATAGTAAATTTCTACCATTTGGAAGAAGCCTCATGTGACAGTACTTTGGGACAATAAATTCCATTATTACTTACATTTATATTAACAAAATAGTCTTAAATGAGTCCAATGATTTCTGAATTACTGTTACAATCACAAACAGAAATAAGAAATTCCTGTGTAAATCATGCAAATATTATCTAATCAAATGGGTTTTGGAAAGAGTAGTAAATGTTTAGTAAACTAAAACTAAAAGAACTACTAAAATAAATGTATAGATCGTCCTGAATAAAACTTAATGGAAATATGTATGGTTTAAGAAGAAAATCTGGATTCAAGGGCAAAGAAGAGATGTCAATCTACACTTCTTTAAATGAAACACGGACCTAGAAGGGTCATTTTCTGTGTTTCATAATAGTTTTAAATTGCCCAGTAA